CGGCATAAATCAATGTTAAATCCACGAACTTCCGTTTGAGTCCGAAACTCAGATCTGGATATATATGGATCCGACACTTCTGTCACCTTTTGAGTTATTCACGGACGATGAGTCAGTCAGTCATTGCACTCTTACTGCTTTCCACTCAATTTCATTTTAGTAGCAAAACTTCTGTTCTCTACGTTGGGCCCACCTTTGGGTGCATGGAATAAGTAAATAAATAAATAAATAAATAAGTCCTGTGATATACAAATCCTATTCGTCCTGAGACAAATTCCTGAACCCATTTGAAAATTGATGCTTTGGAGTGGGTGTTGAAAAATCAGTTATCTATCTAATGGTAAGTGAAAGTCATCTTTCCACGAAATATCGTTCTGCAATATTGATAAGGAAGGCATCCCGTGGTGACCCAGAATTAAAGGCATAAATATCGCCTTACTTGGAAAGTTACCCAGTAAAGACGGACAATTTGGGAAGACTGGTGACATGCAACTTCATACCGTCCGTGGCTCAGGAAAAGCTCCCAAAATGAGCACATTTTCGAGTGTCGGGGTTAGAGGAAAGATCAGGGACGGTTTCCTTGAAAAAAATCGTTGAGAAGTTATGAGTAGAGGTTACTAGTTTGTTTTTAAAGTTCCCACAAACGAAGGAGGATTATTATACTGGAATTCGGTATCTTGCTATCCTACTGTACTCAAGATATTCCTAGGGAAGCAGAAGAATGTTCAACAATCGTATCGTACATAGTGTTCCCATTGAAATAACATTGCCCCGGATAACATAAATTTATATATCTCATGCGCCATCCAAAGATACAAAGGAAATAACCCGTTTATCTGGTTCCCGTGAGCGAAACGCCGAATTTCATGATGACCGACTTCCGTTGCCGAATGCTATCTCTACCGAAATAGCAAGCCGTATTATTTGTAAATACCTGGTCTGAAGTTTTGGCCCCCGGAGAGTTTTTTGTGCAGAGAGAAACCAGGAAAATGTCTGATGAAAAACATGGTAATGTTATGGATAGCCTCCAAATAATTCGCCTGGTGTATGTCAAATGAAAATTCATAAGTATTGGAAGGAATGCAGAGAAATTTAGCGAGGCTTTGAAAAAAAAAACAACTTGTTTGTCATAAAATTGAATTTTTTTTTTCAAAAACTTCAGAGAGTCGAAGAAGTAAAAGGTCGACGATATTCATGCTTTTCCGAAAACTGAAGAAAATAGAAATACTGAGATATCTTATGAATTATCTAACACAAAAAACACACAGGATCTATCAAAAAAGGTTAACGGTTTGAATGAAATCTAAAAATTTGAAGCTTACTTGGAAATTTTCAAGATCATTTAACGAAGATAAGTATAAACGTACTGGTTAACGTCCAACCCTCCTGTCTGTAACCGGTTTCTGAAGTGATTTTGCATACATAACTGACCATGCTAACAACCAATTTTACAGTGATTCTGATCTAAAAGGCAATAACGTGTAAGTCATGATGCCAGGGAATCAACTTCCAGACAGAATCGTATTGGTGTTTTAATAATGTACTAGGCTACCTATAGAAAGATAGCGGTGGCCATACGATGTACAAGTCAGTGTTTTTATCCTCCCACATATCTGATACTAATTGACCGAATTCTGAGGATTTAAAAGTTCAGATGGACTGGGCAGATATCGATCTGAGATAAGATTTTCAGGCTATGACTTCGTAAAGTGCGGCATTAGCTACTACTACACTGTTTTTGCTCTTGTAGCAAAAATAAATTATAAAATTATGGAAAAAAAGGACAAGAACATCAAGTCAAAACAACTTAAGGATGTAATTGTAATATTTTTTATTGTTACAATATTGTTACAATAGTAAAACAGAGCGAAATAGTTGGATGAGGATGATTGTGAGTGAATAAATGTAGAATACCCAATGAATAATGAGATTCTAAGAGGGATAAAAGTAGTTAGTTGGATTATTTTTTGACTCTTGGAATAGTTTCGGGAAGAGAGCCCCAAACCATAAAGTTGTGAGGAAGGTTTCAAGCAAGGTTTATGTAGATAGGAGTTAGGTCAGGCTCCTTATCCAGATACTGCTGTTATTCATGTTTCTCGGAACGGAAGTCAAATGTGCGGTGTACTGCTACTGATTAGTAGCCAAGCGACAGTTCACGACTTAATTCTTCGCAAATAGTCGTTGCGATAATTCTAGTTATGATGCAAGAAGAGAGATAGAAATAAGATCATCGGAGAGCTCTTCTTGTGGAGAAGTCAGCGAATCAGAAATTCGATTTTACAGCTTTATTTTTACAAAAATCAAGCATGAGTCCAGCATCTAAGGTGTTAACTGCGGATGTAACAGCATTGTGAGCCCTTCACTTCGATTGTCGCCGATTAAAAAGGCAAGTATGGAGCTATATTAGAGCAAAGCATGGCTACTCTACTACCCTACTACTACCTACTACTCTATGGAGCACTTTAGCAAAATTTATAGCAAGCCTTGTGTTGATATCAGTTCAGTAGCAGTGTGGTATCTTCATTTCCTGAGGCAAAAGGCCTCTGAGATTATTCATATACCGTTTTTCATCTATCTCCCAGTAAAGCCCCATTTTTTTTCTTCTGGGAAGTCATTTCTTTGATAGTTCACCACATTCAAAGCGGTCCCATATATTGGCCTAACTTAACTGACCGAATGCCTTTTGAGACATTCGCTGATGTGCCTCATTTGGTCGGGCTTGGACCCGGTTCTATAGCGGCGCGTCCCGATTTTTCGTCTTTCATTTCACCTTCGTTGATCTCAGATCTCTCCTGAAATGGTCACTTGTATCGCCCATCTCTAGTCATCAGGTTTTGATTTCAGATAGATACTGTGGGTGGGTAACAAAAGCCCAGTCGTATCGCTATCGTTCCTATAAAAGCCGAAACGATGCCATTCAAATTCATACTCATCCTATTATTTCAATAATGCAATACCTCACTTTCTTCGCTCTCATCGCTACCTCAACTGCTTTCCTTCTCGGAGGAGGTGGTGGTGGATGTGGATGCGCGTAAGTTACTTACTATGGCTCCCTACCAGAAAAAGTGCTTTAGTTTAATAATTCTTATATTCCAGACCCCCTCCTCCACCTCCACCATGTGGATGCGGTGGTGGACTACCAGCATTACCACCTATTCAACTTCCCCAGATTTCTCTTCCACAGCCATGTGGAGGTGGATGTGCTCCTCCACCAGCCCCATGTGGAGCTCCTTCTGGATGTGGTGCCGCTCCTCTTCCAGCACCAGCTTACGCTGCTCCTCCTCCTCCTCCTCCAGCTAACGCTTACGCCGTCGGAAAGTAGATTCATCAAAATCGCCTAA